CAAATCTAAAATATATTTAGTTGGGTTAGGCTAAAATAAATTGTTCTTGTTATAATAAGGTTAGGTAAGTTTTCTAAGATTCTTTTGGTGCAAAATTAAATTTTTTTACATTAACATTAATGAAAAAAATATATCTCTAAACGTATAAAAGAAAATTTCAGAAAGGACTTAATTTTAAATGAGTTCTTGCTAATTGACCAGTTTTACATATTCGGCACGACATATATATACATATTATATATATATATATATATATATATATATATATATATATATATATATATATATATATTAATATATATATAATATATATATATATATGTTATATATATATATATATATATTATATATAAATATATATATATATATATTATATATATATATATATATATATAATATATATATAATATATTATATATAATATAGGGAAGTACCACCTCTATAGCTGGAATGGGGACCCTCATCCTCAGAGAAGACAATAAACGTACCTCAGGGAAAACTCAAGGTTCTCCCCGGAGCTGTTTGAATATTTTCTTCTCCTACCTTCCCCTATATATTTTATATTCTATGTGAACATTTATTAATAAGCAGAATACATTTACAGAAAAAATAAACATGAATACAATGGTACAATAAATCAAAGATCATGAATTTCCTCCAGCTCCTCCGAGGCTGGACGCGAGCCAAGTATGCAGCAAGCATTTCCCCTCTGGATGGCTACGCTGAGGCGCTGGAACATGAAACTGGCTGCCCTTGGGTCCCTGCTGGTGTCGATGAGTCTGGAACCCAATTCTTTAAGGAAACGTGTGGCATTTTTTCCCCATGATCCAAAGGTCTCTGATCCCACTGGGACAAATTGATACTGTTGGCTTATGTCCCTGTACTTGCTGATCTTGTACTCCTCCCTGTGGTCAGCAGCTCCTCCCTGTCGTCCCACACTGTGATGGATATAGGTATCAGCCAGTGTGGACACACAGGTATAGTCCCATGCTAAGAGCTTGCCATTCTTCCAAGAATAGATGGTGATCCCGTCGGGGCGGTTTGCTGAGATGTGGGCATTGTTGGCTGCTAGTGATCGGGGCTCCCTCTCGGCTGGACATCCAGCTGTAGCAACGGTTCTCTTGATGATGTTGTTGACCTCATTGTGTCTTGCATGCCAGCCCTTGATTTTGGAACACTTAAGACCATGTAGACCGTATTGGTCTATATATATATATATATATATATATATATATATATATATATATATATAATATATATATATATATATATATATATATATATATATATATATATATATATATATATATATATATATATACATACATACATACATACGGAAAACATGGCAACGTACAGTCCTCATCGTGGCTATCAGAAAAACAAGCTACTCTATTATTAAGAAGAAAAAGGCACAATACCGTGACTGAAACAATACCAAATAACCCGCACATATAAGAAGCTTATGACGACGTTTCGGTCCGACTTGGACCATTAATTAGTCACACAGAAACGTGATCATAAGCAACTTTCTCCTATATGCGGGTTATTTATGTACATTATAATTATCGGTAATTCCGTCTAGAAAGTTGAGATAACGATAATATAACAGAAGACTCAGGTGAGACTCGTTGTAGACTCAACAACGACTAAATCGATATTTGATATTTTTCACCGTTATTAACGTTCTCAGGCTGTACAGAACCGGGGATGGACGCCGATGGCAGCGTGTTTACAGCAACAACTTCAACAGAGGGTCACTCCTCACTACACTGGTCGTTCACGACTCCTTGACATCCACAATTCACACACGTTCGTTCTCTTAGCAGCAACTGGGAGCCTCAGCGAGGGTGAAACATCCCGGTAACCTCGAAGGTGGCCTCAACGAGGGCGAAACATCCCAGTAACTTCGAAGGTGGCCTCAACGAGGGCGAAACATCCCGGTAACTTCGAAGGTGGCCTCAACGAGGGAGAAACATCCCAGTAACCTCGAAGATGGCCCCAGCGAGGGCGAAACTTCCCGGTAACTTCGAAGATGGCCTCAGCGAGGGCGAAACATCCCGATAACCTCGAAGATGGCCTCAACGAGGGCGAAACATCCCAGTAACCTCGAAGATGGCCTCAACGAGGGGAAACATCTCGGTAACTTTGAAGATGGCCTCAGCGAGGGCGAAGCATCCCGGTAACTTCGAAGATGGCCTCAGCGAGGGCGAAACATCCCGGTAACTTCGAAGATGGCCTCAGCGAGGGCGAAACATTCCGGCAACCTCGAAGATGGCCTCAACGAGGGCGAAACATCCCGGTAACCTCGAAGGTGGCCTCAACGAGGGCGAAACATCCCGGTAACTTCGGAGATGGCCTCAGCGAGGGCGAAACATCCAGGTAACCTCGAAGATGGCCTCAACGAGGGCGAAACATCACGGTAACCTCGAAGGTGGCCTCAACGAGAGCGAAACATCCCGGTAACTTCGAAGATGGCCTCAGCGAGGGCGAAACATCCCGGTAACCTCGATGGACTCGCAGGCCCTTTTTTGGTGTCCAGGAGATAAAACCGGTAAGATGACTTTCCATTACTCCTGGATTTTGACGAGTTCCTCCTACGTCAGGTGACGTCTCGCTTATCTCGCCAAGACGGTAATAACGTTATGGAACTGTTCCACCAAACACTGACGGAGTTATAAGAATGAATAATAAATTATGAAGCAACAGTACTGTTTGACGTCCCTTTCCAAACTAGCAACTACTGTTAGACGTTCAAGCTACCTAACACTTCGACGATTAAGCTATCTAACTGACGATTAAAAAGCCACATAACTAACGTTCAAGAAACCTAACTAACGTTTAAGAAGCCGCGTAACCGAACAAAAGTATCACATATATCCAGCATCTTTGGAGAGGAACCTTATGACGACGTTTCAGTCCGTTCTAGGGCCGTCGTCAAGTTACAACTGTTGTGACGTGAAAGTGGTGCAGTAGAGAGCGAAACATCGTCCTCTTCCAGCCACGCTCTTGTGATTTCTCTTTTTCTTTATTTCTTTTTATTTATTTATGTAGCCACTACTCTACACACTGCGTCGTCGTTTTGCGTAAGATGTATCTATAAGTATTATGTGAATGTATTTACACAGGTTTATGTGGGGGTTTTACACAGGTACCTACTTAACTGCTAGGTGAACATGGGCAGCAGGTGTAAGGAAACATGCCCAGCGGTTCCACCCGTTGCGGTGATCGAACCCCTGACACTCAGTGTGTGAGCTGAGTGCGCTACCGAGTTTATAAGTTTGCTAAGTTGTATTTTCTTCATCTTGCACAACGTGTGTGATCCCACTGGGTCAGCTCAGGACCCCGTGGATCATTTCAGAGTCGATTCAGGACTCCATGGATCGTTTCTGAGCCACCTGAGGACCACGTTCGTTATAGGGTCATCTCAGGACCACGTTTGCTACCTCAGGGTAATGCAAGCCACTTCAGGGCCACGTGGACACATCAGGGTCACGTGAGCCTTCTTAAGACGTCACAGTTTTTCTGAGAACCACGTCCTCAGGAAAATTTAAATTTCATCAGGGTCACTGGAGAGTCATCAGGGTCACGGGAGATTCATCAGGGTCACGGGAGCTTCATCAGGGTCACGGGAGCTTCATCAGGGTCACGTAAGCTTTGTCAAGGTCACATGAGCTGCCTCAGAGTCACGGGAGCTTCGTCAAGGTAACCTGGGCCGCCTCAGGTTAACATAGACAACCTCAGAGTCACGCTGGCCACTTCTGGGTCACTTTGCCCCCCCTTAATATTATGCAGGCAGCACTTGTCCTCGTGCACCACCTCAGGGACACGCAAGCCACCTCAGGGCCACGCGGACTGCCTCTGGGAAACGTGGAATAGCCCAGGACCACGCACCTATTTCAGGGCCATATGGGTTCTCACATGGCCACGAGAGTCGTCTCAGAGCAACGTACGCGTTTCAGGGCTACGTAGAACATGAAGCCTCTTGGGCCACCTCAGGGTCACGTGAGCCTCCTCAGGGCCTCTTTGAACCACCTCAGGGTCATAAGGGAAGTTTAGAATTACATGGGTCACCTCAGGTTACGATGAAATTCAGTTCCTCTTGTATTCGTATTCTTGAAATAGTCAAAATATCCTCAAAAGTATACGAGAAATCTATTAGATGCTTTTGTTTACTTACTAAGATTAAATCAGACAACGCTAGATTAGGTTAGGCTAAGTCTGAGTTGGTTAGATTACGTGAGGTTAGGTTAGATTGCATTTCGTTGGCTTGTATAGGGAAGATTAGGTTAGTTGGCCTACGCGAGGTAAACTAGGTTTGGTCAATTTGATTGCGTGAAGTTAGGTTAGGCTAGTTTTAATTTATGGCCTATCGACTACGCGAGGGTCATCAGGGTTGCAGCTCTCCTGAGGGATATACACCTCCCGATATACACAATATATACAATGAGAGATGCGCACCTCCCAGTGTATATTCACCTCTCGCTGTACATACCCTGAGATATATACACCTGTCAGTGTCTATAAAATCATTTGGACCCTTTCAGTGTATATACCATGAGCGATATACACCTCTCGGTGTACATACATATACTATGTTGCAGTTGCAACTAGTTGTTTAAGGCAAAGCTTTTTCCTCGGCTGCCATGATGCAACAACCACTTGAAGTAATTCCAAGGTGAACTACAGTAATCTAGCAAGAGTGAGTAAGCACAAACGATTTTAATTAAAGAGAGATTATACATTCTCAAAAGGAACAAAATCAAGGAGTATAACACGCTTCCATACAAAATTAAATGAAAATGCAAATGGAAAAGGCATATGGTAATTTACGCTTGAGGCAGCGTAAGATAAAGGATTATTAACGTGTCGATCAACAAAAAAAAAGCTAAAAAACATTCGTCACACGCACAACGGGTCCAAGCTGGGGTCGAGGTCGAGTCTTCCTCCTCGCTGCTTGCGGGGGTATAAATAGCTGGTCCCAGGCAGCTGACAGACATCCTCAGCTGATCCTCACGCCGACAACATGAAGTTCGTAAGTATAGTTGAGAGAGAGAGAGAGAGACACCACACATAAACTAAGGTACGACTTCGGCAACCACATATACGAGCTGATAAGACGAAGTACAATAAGGGAGTTACGCAGTAAATATTGTTCGAGGGGGAGGTTCTTGGAGTCATATGCAAGGTTTAGAAAGACACAGGAGCAAATGCCAGGACATATTTATTAAAAGAAACTTTCGGTCCTGGGACCTTGATCACTTTGGTTAGAAGTGATCAAGGTCCCAGGACCGAAAGTTTCTTGTAATAAATACATCTTATTGTTTGCTCACGAGTCTCTCTAAACGACTTGTAGGTGTTACTTACCAAGGTTAGTAAGTAAGTTTATTCAGGTATACACAAATATAGTTACATAGATTATCATACATAGCAGCATATGTGTAAAGTACCTAGGATAAACCCAAAAAAGTCAGACAGAGTTACTTATTTCCACGTCAAACGACAGGATTATCAGAGTACGCAGTGCAGGTATAGATCTCACACTTGGTCAAACACATCCAGACGCTTCATAAAGACAAGAAACATCTCTTCGGCGTAAGATTATTATTATTATTATTATTATTATTATTATTATTATTATTATTATTATTATTATTATTATTATTATTATTATTATTATTATTGTTACTCCAGCGTAAGAGTAGTGGAACGAGGTAGACAGCCACATACAGCAGCAACTGATGACACGTCGAAAATAACACGTTAATATCATACAGATAATTCAAGTCAGCCAATGGAGAGTTCATAAGTTCTTTCTGCTCCCCAAAAAATTGAAGCTCTTCTGCCCTCCCCCCCCTCACCAAGCGAAAATTCAAATAGATAGCAAAACAAATACACTCACACACACACACACACACACACACACACACACACACACACACACACACACACACTAGGTGGGTAGCTAAAATTACTGTGTATTACCTCCTCGGAGGCCAATTACATCGTCTACAACAACAGTGTTTTTAAAGTACCAAAACAAAAAGGAAGAAAACACTTTCAGTTTTTTGGGTTAACAGTGTCAGCATTTTCCTCTCTCACCTTGACTCAGCCTCATTATCATCGTCTTCTCTCCCTGCTTAAACCTCATTCTCCCTAGCTTCTTTTCTCTCCCTGACTAAACCTCAGCATCCCTATCTTCTCTCTCTGACTAAACCTCAGCATCCCTATCTTCTCTCTCTGACTAAACCTCAGCATCCTTATCTTATCTCCCTGACTAAAACTCAGCATCCCTATCTTCTCTCTCTGACTAAACCTCAGCATCCCTCTATTCTCTCCCTGACTACACCTGAGCATCCCTATCTTCTATCGTTGACTCCTCATCATCTCTTCCCGACACAGACTCTCGTCATCTGCCTGGTCGCCCTGGCCTCCGCTGCCCCTGATAAAGATGCCCATACCCTCGTAGACGAGCGAAGCGACTCCGGCGACGGCAATTTTCACTACAACTTCGAAACCAGCAACGGAATCGCCGCCGAGAAGACCGGCACCCCAGGCTCAGAGGGCCAGAGCAACATGAAGGGCTCCTTCAGGTGAGCAACACATTTCCGAGGTTGTCAACATCGTTAGAACTATATTATACTATAGATAAAGTGTGACAAACACTTGTCAATGTTCAATAATAACCCACATGAAGACAGAAACTTTAGAAGATTAATTGGTCTGCATATTTCAATCCCCTTCAGAGATCTTCTGAGTTTCTGTCATTATGTGGGTTATTAATGAGCATATTTTGTGTTTTGCGAATAATATTTTTAATTTAAAATTAAGCACTTAGCCTGGAGTGGGCTGACTTATTCCATTTACAGTGTCTAGCTTCGTCTCTTTCCAATATTAGGAGAATAATTTTTTCACTGTTTTCTTCTTCAGGTTTACCCTCCCCGACGGCACCCCCGCTGAGGTCACCTACATCGCTGACGAGAACGGCTACCAGCCCAGTTCCGACTTGCTGCCCGTCCCCCCAGCCCTCCCCCCCCACGTTCACGAGCTCCTCCGCATCGCTGAGGATCAGCGCGCTCGAGGCATCACCTTCGAGAAATAAGTAGAAGGTCGACCCACTCCTCGACTTACATGTTACTGACCTTCCTGTATATAGCGAACTCGTGAGGGCAACTATTTGGGGTATCCTCTGACACACCAGACCCTGAACACACTTCATCCTTCTCATTCGTGTACAATAAATGTAATATTTGCATTTCTAAGTCTGTTTATCCCATACGCTGTGGTACTGAAATTAAGCGAAGAAAGCTAACCAGTGTGTTTCTCGAAATGGTAACAAGAAGACTGCAAATAAACCGGGGAACGGGCGAGGTTTGAATCCAAGGCGGGTGAGTCGTGAAACTCCAGGAGCTTAGCTTAGTTAATATAACAGTTGTGTAGCAAGACTTACACTGATGATCCACACATTTGATGCTTCCAATAAATCAACAAACGTCATACTAAATAATTTGTAAGAAATAAACCTGCATTTTTTTTAATTTAGAAGCGCTAAACCCGTAGGGATTATACAGAGGCTGGAGAATGGGAAGCAGTCAGGTACAATCCGAGAAGGGGGGGATAAATCTACTTCCTTGGACGAAGAGCCCCTCACGTGTGCCTCCCTCAGGGTCACCTCACCGAGGGGAATGAGTGTGCCTTCACGCTATATTGCTGCGCATTTGCAGAAACAATTGCTCCCAAAAACGCACGTGTGTGTTTGTGTGTGTGTGTGTGTGTTTGTGTGTGTGTGTGTGTGTGTGTGTGTGTGTGTGTGTGTGTGTGTGTGTGTGTGTGTGTGTGTGTGTGTGTGTGTGTGTGTGTGTGTGTGTGTGTGGTGTGTGGTGTGTGAAATTACATGCGCATTATGTAACAAAGATTGCTATATGCGAAGAGGCAGGGTCATGAGCTATGAATCGACCCCTGCAAATACAAATAGGTAAGTACACACACATACACACACACACAGGGAAGGCACTACAATGGATCAGGGAATACTTGTCAGGAAGACAGCAGCGAGTCATGGTACGTGGCGAGGTGTCAGAGTGGGCACCTGTGACCAGCGGGGTCCCGCAGGGGTCAGTCCTAGGACCAGTGCTGTTTCTGGTATTTGTGAGCGACATGACGGAAGGAATAGACTCCGAAGTGTCCCTGTTTGCAGATGACGTGAAGTTGATGAGAAGAATTCATTCGATCGAAGACCAGGCAGAACTACAAAGGGATCTGGATAGGTTGCAGACCTGATCCAACAATTGGCTCCTGGAGTTCAATCCCACCAAGTGCAAAGTCATGAAGATTGAGGAAGGGCAAAGAAGACCGCAGACGGAATACAGTCTAGGGGGCCAGAGACTACAAACCTCACTAAAGGAAAAAGATCTTGGGGTGAATATAACACCAGGCACATCTCCTGAAGCGCATATCAACCAAATAACTGCTGCAGCATATGGGCGCGTAGCAAATCTCAGAACAGCATTCCGACATCTTAATAAGGAATCGTTCAGGACCCTGTACACCGTGTACGTTAGACCCATATTGGAGTATGCGGCACCAGTTTGGAACCCGCACCTAGCCAAGCAAGTAAAGAAACTAGAGAAAGTGCAAAGGTTTGCAACAAGACTAGTCCAAGAGATAAGAGGTATGTCCTACGAGGAGAGGTTAAGGGAAATCAACCTGACGACACTGGAGGACAGGAGAGATAGGGAAGACATGATAGCGACATACAAAGTACTGAGAGGAATTGACAAGGTGGACAAAGACAGGATGTTCCAGAGATGGGACACAGCAACAAGGGGACACAGTTGGAAATTGAAGACACAGATGAATCACAGGGATGTTAGGAATAGTTTAGAAAGAGATGTAGTGGAGGCAGGATCCATACATAGCTTTAAGCAGAGGTATGATAAAGCTCACGGTTCAGGGAGAGTGTCCTAGTAGCGACCAGTGAAGAGGCGGGGCCAGGAGCTTGGGATCGACCCCTGCAACCTCAACTAGGTGAGTACAACTAGGTGAGTACACACACACACTCACACACACAACAGGCCATGTCTCCTTACAGATGGTAACTAACATACATAAATACAGTACTGGTGTTTATTGTATATAATTGTTAATGGCTGTTGTTAGGAATGTGTTAGTGTCACGAGGAATATTATTACTGTCAGCTGAGATAATGTCTGCGCCCTCTCTTGTAATAACCAGGAAGATTTTCTTTTATTTTTTACACTTTCTATAATGTTGTCGGAAAGGTTTGACAGTGAGTCAAGAGGAAGTTCTTGACGCTGCCTTACACCGTCTACACGAGGATGCTGAGCGGGGCTTAATTAATTCTTGGAGCCTTCACCTCCCATCCCACACATAAACACACTCGCTCATCGGCTAGGGAAGGACTAGCAGCAGCAGTTGCTCTGTCTCTATTAACACAGTCTCAAATATAAGTTCTATGTTGTAACTATTATTTTCTCAAACTGAAAATATATTTGTTAATTTTGTAAAGGTCGGTGCAGACTGCACTGCAATTGCTTTAGCAATTGTAACTCCACTTATTTCTGCCGTAACTTGTGTTTACTATGCAAAGTAAACCATTCATTTTACAGCTTTAAAGCTTACTGTTTTTGTATCAGATTTTTAAGAGAGACAAATATGATGATATAACTTAAATATTTACACACACACACACACACACACACACACACACACACACACACACACACACACACAAACACACACACACACACACACATTTAAAAAAATGCTTACCAATAAGCTTTATATTAAACAAGCTTTTATCAAGCGGGTTTTGTTTTGGCCATTCTGATGTAATATCTAAAATATCTGATATTTAGTTAACAGCCAATAGATACCTGTTATCATAGTTTATTTTCTGATGTATATTGAATGAAAGGTTTAAATTTATAAAGAATTAAAAAAAATATTTCAGTAGGATTTAGTATTTTTTTACTTAAGACAGATGGAATACAAGTGAGGTATTCCATCCGATACTTTGATTGTGTTGAGCCAGAGTTCCCAGGCCCCTTGAAGAAACTGATCTCTATCCATGACCCTCTTGAAGATGTTGATCTCCATCTCCTGAACGTCTTAGGAGGACTGAATTATAACTTTCAGAACTCATCAAGAAGTTGATCTGCAGCTCATCTGTCTGCTGAGAGTTCTGAGGTACATCTGTTCCTCGTGTGTGGGTTAAGGTGTCGAGGCTTAAGGAAAACAACGACACCTCTACCTCGGATCGCGCAGCAAATGCACTTGCTGTAGTGAAACTTACGTAGACTAGACCTCAAAGCATTAGCCAGCGATGAATGCCAAAGACTAGGGGTTATTCACATAAGACAGGTCAGTAGCTATCTAAGCCAACACTGTCACCAATTGAAAGACCTCCGTCAAGTCTATCATCACTTAATACAAAGGAGGAGTTTCTCTTTTCCAGTCACTCTGACGACCTGGCCTGACTGATGTTGGAGTCTTTGTTTACAGAGACACCATCCTAACAAAAATCAGTATTTCAGTTGCGAAAACAGTCAGATGGATGACTGTTTGCGAACCTTAAACAGCGAGTTACTGTATTTTAGAGAGCACTTGGTAGTTCCCTGTTTCCTGGTCACGTCTGAAAATTTCTGATATTCCTGTATTTTACATTTTATTTGTTGTATAACCCTTGTGGTTTAGCGCTTCTTTTTGATAATAATAATAATAATAATAATAATAATAATAATAATAATAATAATAATAATAATAATAATAATAATAATAATAATACATTTTATTTATTGGCATTGTTGTATTTTATTAAAAGTTTTTAGTATTAGACGATAATATCACTTTAGTCAACCTTAACCTAAATAACGTGAATCAAAATTTTTTTTTGAAAATCTTTTCTGACAAACTGACATAATTTACGAGAACAAGTTGGCAGACAGCACTCGGTGCCACAGGTTGGCAGACAGCACTCGGTGCCACAGGTTGGCAGACAGCACTCGGTGCCACAGGTTGGCAGACAGCACTCGGTGCCACAGGTTGGCAGACAGCACTCGGTGCCACAGGTTGACAGACAGCACTCGGTGCCACAGGTTGGCAGACAGCACTCGGTGCCACAGGTTGGTATACAGTAGTCTGTGCTACAGGTTGGCAGACAGTAGTTGGTACCACAGGTTGGCAGACAGCACTCGGTTCCACAGGATACCAACCACGATCCAATAGTCTCCGAGCCTACAGGGACGTAGTGGTACTACTGGTGAGTCAAGTCCCTGTATTTGTTTAGCTTGTAATCTTCCCTGAGATCAGTAGAGCCACCCTGCACTACTGACAGGGATGAACAAGTATAGTCCCACACCAGCAGTCCACCGTTCTTCCAGGGATATAACGTGATCCCATCAGGGCGACTGGCGGGCGTGCAAAGAGAAAAGAAAATAAAAAAATTGCCGACACCTCCCTTAAGTGTTGGCTTGTAAACATGGAGGTTCTCTCTCGAGTGGGCATCGGCTTGTAACAAGGCTTCCCTTGATGAACTCGTTGACTTTATTTTGTCTACCATGGTCTGAACACGAAGAGCTCGGATCATGCAGGCCATATCGGTTCACGACCACTTACTCGCAAATACAATTGTAACCAGCGCTAATAGGGGCAGCAAGACGGAGACCCGCTGCAATAAGAAGGGTCTGTGGGTCAAGACGTGTGCCACTCACAGAGATGGGATCTAGTAGGAGAAAGTCACCTGAGTGAGCTAACTCACAGCTAAAAAGCCAGTTCTCTCACCTGCAGATCTTGTGGCCACTATCATAGATGCAATAACCTTGTCTCTGATGGGGCTGTCTCAACTGGACTGTGAGCCCTGAAAGGGCATCCCACACGCTGGTGCCACTAATGTAGCTGGGGATGTCATCCACCCCTGCCAGTTTACGAATATATTCTGAGAGAATTTCTTTCACTAACTCGTTGGATCCATTGGAAGAGGATACGAAAGTTGGTAAGGCAATCTGAAAGACTGCATGCCAAGTCCGCCTAATTTGACGGGAAATGTGGCTTGCTCCCACTGATTCATCCAGGGAAAGGCTCAGTACTTTCTATGTACTCTTCCAGTTTGAGCCTGACAAAGTATAGAGAGCATCATATAACATAAGTTAGCTTAAGGAAGTATAGACGCCTGGTGAGGAGATAGAAGGCTGATCCTGGTCTGCATTCGTTTGAGATTAGAAGGTTTTTGTTTAA